AATGGCCACGAGAATGCTCACACTCTCACTTTGAAGATGTTGGTGCCACTTGCCCATTTGGGAGCCCGTTTTCTGAGCCAAAGGAGCACTGATGATGCAGTGGGTACAGCAAAAGTTGGCTGCTAACCGAAAGGTCACCAGTTCGAGCCCACCAGCCAGTCTGTACGGGCAAGATGTGGCTGTCTGTATGCTTACCAGATTTACAGCCCTGGAAGCCCTCCAGGATTGCGATGAGTATGAATCGGAATGGGAATTGACTGGATGGCAACAGGGAGTGTAACTCCCTCCCTGGACAAAGGTAGCAATTATTCAGCAGTGGCTAGAACTGCCATAGAAAGCAAAACCCAACATTCACGAGCGAATAAAGCTATGCGGACTCCCCTGTTGTAGCCAGCAGTGTCAAGAAGGGGGCACCTCCGTAGTGATGAGAATAGCAAAACAGATGGCCTTGGTAAGCCCCCGCTTCCCCTAGTGTGCACACCCCATCCGTCAGCCTGCTTTGATGGCTGCCATGTGCACACATGTCCCGAACATCTTAAAGCAGAGAAGCTTACAGTTTAGGAGAACAAGTGAGTGCCCTGTTTGTGCCTGCAACATTACTTACTGACTACCATCCATTCAATTCTGACTCATGGCAACCCTTAAGATGACTGTGAAGGGCATTTGAAGGAAAAGGTTATTTCCTGATCACCCCTTGTCATTTTCTTCTCTGGTGGTATGCCAGGGTTGCATGATTTCTTTGAACTAACCAGAGGGCATCCCCAAATCAGAAAATTACTTAAAGGAATTCTTGATTTGTCCACCCAGGTTATTGTGTCTGCTACCGAGCAGAAATAAATCAAAACTACCTGAAACACATGAAATTCAGACCCTATTAAAGAAAAGTTTACAGCCAGTTTCCTTAACATTGCTTAACATTTCCTCAGCTTTTTCAGTATGATAACTAGCATAAGTTATCCTTTTTGTAGCTCTCAAGAGTTGTGATAAAATCTGGTATTGAAGTCGACATCATCTAGGAATGTAAAGGCATTCCACTATGTGTATGGATAGCCCTGAGAAGAATGAGAATTCCAGAACACGTTTCATTGTACTCGTGTGGAACCTGTACATGGATCACACGGCACGTGTGCAAACAGAACAAAGGTGTGCTTCAGGGTTGTGTCCTCTCACCATACTTATTTAGTCTGTATGCTGAGCAAATAATTGGAGAAACAGGACTATATGAAGAAGAAGATAGCATAAAGATTGGAGGAAGCCCTGTTAACAGATGATACAACCTTGCTTGCTGAAAGTGAGAACTTGAAGCATTTGCTGAAGATCAAGGATTGTAGCCTTCAGTATGGATTACAACTCAGTGTAAAGAAGATCAAAAGCATCACAACTGAACCAAGAGGTAACACTGTGATCAATGGAGAAAAGGTTGTTGAGGAAGTTGTTGAGGATTTTGCGTTACTTTGATCCACAATCAGTGCTCATGGAAGCAGCAGTCAGGAGATCAAATGCCGCATGGCATTGGTAAATCTTATGCACAAGACTTCTTTAAAGTGTTGAAAAGCAAGGATGTTAATTTTGAGGATTATGGTGTGCCTGACCCAAGTCGTGGTGTTTTCAATTGCCTCATTTCATATACGTATGAAAATTGGACATTGAGTAAGGAAGATGGAAGAAGAACCCATGTGAATTGTGAGGAATACTGATAGTACCATGGACTGCCAGAAGAACAAACACATCTGTCTATCTTGGAAGGAGTACAGGCAGAATGCTACTTAGCAGAAAGGATGGAGAGACTTAGTTTCCCTTACTATGTACATGTTTTCAGGAGAGATCAGTCCCTGGAAAAGGGCATCATGCTTGGTAAGGCAGAGCGGCAGCAGAAAAGATGGCATGGAATGACACAGTGGCTACAACCATGGGCTACCACGTTTAACAATTAGGATGGTGTAGGATCAGGCTGTTGTACATAGGGTCGCAATGAGTTTGAACCTACTCAGTGTTGTTGTTAGGTGCCACTTAGCCGGTTTGACCCACAGTGACCCTGTACACAACAGAAGGAAACACGGCCTGGTCCTGTGTCATCCTCACGGTTATTCCTGTGGTTCCCAGGCTGGGCCCACTGCTGCAGCCACTGTGTCAGTCCATCTCATCGAGGGCCTCCCTCTCTTTTGCTGCCCCTCCACTGGACCAAGCACGATGTCCTTCTCCAGGGACTGGTCTGTCTTGACAATGGGTCCAGAGTATGTAAGATGAAGCCTTGCCACCTTTATCTCTAAACACTCAAAAGCACCTAACAAAAACAAGAGGAAAAATTTTGGGGACAGTGGTCTAAGTAGATAATTTTTACCAAATCCTATTGAATTCTGCCAGGTAGCTTACCTCACTCCTCTCGATTTTAGGTAGGAAGACTATGGAAATAACAAAAGATTGTTTTTAAAAGGGTGTTATATTTTTTAAAGTATTATTTTTACATTGTTTTCTAGAAGTAAGTCTGAAAAGACTGAAAATTAATAAAAACACATTGTGTTTGAAATACCACACTGTGTAAAAGCATTGACCGTTAAAAAGAAAGCCTAGTGACCACGTCTGTGTAATGTAGCATGCTTGAGTAGGAGAAGCAGACAAACATGTGGTTCTGTTATGATGCTGCTTACAGGACAGGATAGCTCGTCGTCAGTACAATGCTTGGCAGGCATGGGGCCATCTCGAGAGCAGATGACCTTGGATACCTGAGATTTGCCAGTAGCTGAAAATTGGATCCAGGGATGTGTACTTGAGAGAGAAATTCCTGAGACTGAAATAACATTGAAGTCCAGTTATCACTGAGGGTAGTGGACTGTAGTTGGTCCCATTGGAACATGGAGCCGGTGAGCTGGTCCCAGACGAATCTGTTCTATTTCAATGAAGGGTGCTCTGGGGTAAGGGTGGGGGAGCCAGAGGCTGCTTCTTGGAAGGACATGTTTAGGGGATGAACGTGACTGGAGACGGTGGAATAGTTTGAAGGGCAGAGCTGTGCCAGATTATGCAGGAATCTGATGCCAGAACAAGAGGTTAGAGAGTATGCTGCAGCAATAGAATCACCAAGGAATCCTGAGTCACCGAGTGCTGGTAACAACAACAACAAAAGATCTTTAAGGTGGGCCCCCTTAAAGAACAGAATTTTACTTTCTCACACTGCGGTAGGTGGGAAGTGCAAGTTCAGACTGTGGTTCTAGGGGAGGTCTTCCCGTGTGTGCCCCTGATCCTGTGAGGCTTCTGGTGTCTTTAGGGGTCTGTCATCCCCAGGGAGAAGTGCCTTGAAAGAAAGCCTTGTTGGTGTGCTTCTAGAAAAGCAGCCACTCAGAAGCCAGGGAGCACACCTGTGACACACACAGGGGTGCCTTGATTCCGCATAGACTGGATGGAAAAAGGTGTTCATGAGAGAGCAGAGGGGGAAAACCCAAATCAAACTCACTGCCACCAAGTTGATTCTAACCCACCCTGTGAACTTCTGAGAGTGTAACTCTTCATAGGAATAGAAAGCCTGGGCCTCTCCCGAGGAGCCAGCTGGTGGATTTGAGCTTTGGACCTTGCAGTTAGCTGACCAACTTGCAACCTCTATGCTACTGGGGCTCCTCATGAGAGAGTAAAGAAGGCAGGGAATGGGCATGAGAGCTAAAGGTACATATAAATTTAGGGGGGCAGTTGAATATTTTCTACTCAAATAATACTGGGGGCTGGGAGATTCAACAGACCCCATAAAGCCAACGCTATGAGGTCAGAAGTGTTTCATTTCATTAATGATCTGTTATTCCCAGGGGTCACTTGTGGGGCATGGGAGGGATTAGCTTGTCTTGCTAACAGTCAAACAAGGGCCCTTTTGGCTTAAATGGTACCCACAGTTTGACTCCTTGTGGCTATCGTCTCTAATTTGTTCCTCACCCTTTTCACCTTTTCACCCACTGGATGCAAAACTGATTGGGGACACTTTTTTAAAAAATGTGGTTTGAATAGTGCAACCAGGTTACAGAGCTTCTTAGTAGTTAGAACTGATATTTGAAATGAAAAATAAAAAAAATAATCTCTTCCTCAGGGATCCAGGACAGATGAACCCCTCAGGACCAATAATGAGAGTAGTGATACCAGGAGGGGAAGGGGAAGGTGGGGGGAGAGAGGGGGAACCGATCACAATGATCTAAACATAACCCCCTCCCAGGGGGGCAGACAAAAGAAAAGTGAGTGAAAGGAGACAGCGGTCGGTCAGCGTAAGACATGAAAAAAAATTTATAAATTAATCAAAGGTTCATGAGGGAAAGAGTAGGGGAGGGAAAAAATGAGCTGATACGAAAGGTAGAAAGAAAAGGTTTTGAAAGTGATGTTGGCAACATATGTACAAATGTGCTTGACACATGGATGGATGGATGGATTGTGATAAGAGCTGTATAAGCCCCCAATAAAATGATTAAAAAAACCCACATCTCTTCAGTTTTACATGCCAAGACACTCCCAGTAAGAGTAGGTTGCAAATAAAGTATAAATGCTGTTTTGGGTGCCTGGTAATCTTTTAATTATTAAATAAGCCTTTTGATTCTAATCTTCCAAAATGTAGGCTACTGATCCAGGAAAGCAGCCTTTTTAAAGTTCACATCCTGCTGACTCCCTCAGATGTTAAGCTTCTACCTCTACCCAATATTTTGCAAGCTGGCATAAAAATGTCGTTCACCGTGTCTCTTTCCTACCGTTGTCTATAAAAAAGATTGCTCCTTCAGGAGTTGGTCCTAAGCCCTGAAGACCACAGAGCAGAGCAAGTGAATGCCCAGGTTTCTGGAGCTGGGACCCCATACTGCGGGTTCACAGCCATTGACTAAGGAGTGGTCCAAGAGACTGAGGCCTATATTAACTCATCTCCATTGCCATCACTCCATCCAGGACCTGGCCTCCTTCCACACATATTCACATACATGCAAACCAAAGCCCTGGTACTGATACACTTTATTGTTTTTGCTCTTTTGTGGCATTGGAAACAGCTTGTACAATGAAGATAGAAACCTGCTTCGAATTAGAGAAAAAGAAAGACGCAACCAGGAGGCTCACCAAGAGAAGGAGACCTTCCCTGAGAAGATTCCCCTTTTTGGAGAGCCCTACAAGGTAGGTAACTACGGGAGGAGCTCATCGACCATGGCTGTTAACTCTGCTCATGCAAAGGATTCGGCTGTGAAAATGAGAAAGCGTATCACAGGGGCTCGTGGAAAATGAAGTATAAAACGTTCTCAGAATCTACCGTAGTTTGTGGCTCTCTTTCGTAATGCTTGTCTCCCGCATGCAGTCTGCCATGTGGTTATGACAGGGTTCTCAACGGGCGTAGAATTAAAAGTGTGCCTTAAACTTTATTTGCTGCACATTTCATTTGAAGTGTTTTTGTGTGTGTGTGTGGGGGGGGGGAGGTATTATCTAATATGGTGTATTAAATTTAATTTTATTTCACTTTTCTCTACAGTATCTAACTATCTTTCTTTGACTTATTTTCAGACAGAAAAAGGCGATGAGCTGTCCAGTCGGATACAGAACATGCTGGGAAATTATGAAGAAGTAAAGGAGTTTCTTAGTACCAGTTCCCACCCACATCGCTTTGATGCTTCTGAAAACAGGCTGGGAAAGCCCAGGTATCCTCTACTTCCTGACAAGGGGAGCAGCGTTCCACCCCACTCCTTCCACATGAGCGTTCACCACCAGCCCATTAGCACTCCTGCCTCTGGACCACTTCCTGTTGGTAACATGAGCCACAATCCAAAGACGGCACAGCCCAGAGTGGAACCAAGTCTCCGCGCCAAAAGCTATGGCCCACCAGATGGCCAGCATCTGACCCAAGATCGCCTTGGTCAGGAGCGGTATGGCCCTAGTCATCACAAAAAAGGTGATCACAGAGCTGATGGCAACCGTTGTTCTTCGATGGCAGGCTCAGTTCCAGAGAGGGAACTTTCTCCCTTACTCTCTTTGCCTTCCCCGGTGCCCCCTTTGTCACCGATACATTCCAACCAGCAAACTCTTCCCCGGACGCAAGGAAGCACCAAGGTTCACAGCAGCAACAATAACAATAAAGGCTGTTGCCCAGCCATATCTCCTAAGGACCTAGCCGTGAAGGCGCATGATAAAGAGACCTCTCCAGACAGTGTGTTGGCACTTGCCAGCATTGGGGTGGCCCCTCCCCAGGCATCCTCTCAGACATTTCCCCCACCTTCTCTCCCCTCAAAAAGTTTTGCAATGCAGCAGAAGCCGACCGCGTATGTCAGACCCATGGACGGTCAAGATCAGGCTCCCAGTGAGTCTCCTGAACTGAAACCACAGCCGGGGGACTACCGGCAACAGCCCTTTGAGAAAACAGATCTAAAAGTGCCTGCCAAAGCCAAGCTCACCAAGCTGAAAATGCCTTCTCAGTCAGTTGAGGTGAGTGGAATTTCATAACTTGGGCAAATTCCAATTCGAAGACAGGTTTGCAATGGAAGTGCCTACAGGTTAGGGGGAGGGAAGTGGCCTTTGGGCAATGGAATTTCTTTTGGGGATTTTAGGATTTTGCTAACCTACCAAAAACTCTGTCAACATGTACTGCTAACAGCAGCTACTGAAATGTGTTCTGCAGGAAGGTGGTAAAGTTTACAGTGGTACCATAATTCAGATCGAGTGAGACGGAGATTCAGAGTGCAGTGGGGTGTGTCTTGAAGAGCTGTACACCTGGGTAAACCACATCCGAGTCAAGACCAAGATGCCTATCACCGGAAAGGTTCAGGAGAGTTTAAGTAACTTTGTTTTTCGGGTTGGGAGAAAACTGCTCCTGTAACAATGCAGAGGGGGGAAATCAGATTTTTTTTTTGTAGCCTCAATTATTTTTTACTGAGATCTAAACCATTTAGGAAAAAAGAAAAAGCAGATCAAACTGTTCAAGGAACAAAACCTTTGGATTTTTTTAAATTGAAACATCAAAACTAGAGTTCTGCTCTAATCATTTTTATTTAAAAGAAGACCAGACCTAGGCTGACATCTGATTTGAATGTGTCACAAATCTAATATAGAACAGTATGGATTTTTTAAGTAACTAAAAATTCTGCTTTTTTATTTTTTAAACTAAGAGAAAATATTCCCTTTCCTGCACAGTTGAGCATGAGGATACTGTTTGATTGAAGAGAATCAGCATATGTCAGTGAGCTTTTAAAATTAGTATTGTTTTTTTTTTTAAGTTTATATGTTGATATAAAGTCAGTGAAATCATCCCTGTGTTGGGTAAGCATTCTGTTTTGTAGATTTATTGCTCAAAGCGCTTGTGTCTCCCCATAGCAGCCATCCATAAGGTCAGAGAGTAGAATTCCTGGAGGTTTAAAGGAAGCAAAAAAGACTTTAAGATGCTTAGCTAGAAAGGTGCCTTTTTCATTGAGTAGGAAAATCTGTTTCTCAGGGGTCCCAGTATGGGTTTTGATGAAAAAACCAAACCAAACTTACTGGCATTGAGGCCGATGCCAGCACATAGTGACCCTGTAGGACAGGGTAGAACTGCCCTTGTGGGTTTCTGAGATTGTAAATCTTTACAGGAGTAGAAAGCGTTATCACTCTCCCAAGGAGTGGGTGGTGGTTTCAAACTGCTGACCTTGTGGTTAAGCAAGCCAATGTGTAACCACTAAGCTACCAGGGTTTGGAAGAGCTGGAATTTGAACTCAAGTGGCCCCCGAAGTTTGAAGTCCCCCCGAAGCCGAGGACTAATGAAGAATGAGCAGGGAAGTGGAGGAGGGCAATAAATTAAATGATGGGAATGATCAAAAGGCAGAACTCTACCTTCGACTCCAGTGAATGAAGATTCAGCTCATGAGCATCTTATGCTGCGATGGGAATGAGACTAGAGGACTAGCTAGAGAGCAAAGAGGAAAGGAAAAGATCTCCTTCCCCAAATGGCCAGTTAGCTTTAGAATCCAGAGATGAAAGAACAGAATGGGGTTTGCTTTGCTTTGTTTAGCAAATAGGATCTGTTTTCACTTTAAGAAGCAGAAAGGGAACAATGAAGTGATCTAAAAACAAAAAAACCTTGCTAACCGACTTTAAAAGTGCTTTAAATTAGTTGTGAGACAAACTGTGAAGTACGCGTGTCATGTACCTGTGTTATTTGTCCAACAGTGTGCTGAAATGTAGGATGGGATCCAGAGGTACTGCTCCCTGCCCCAGGACATAGTACAATCTAGGGTGAGGACGTGAAAACACACACACACACCACACACGAAGCAACTAGAGGAGATAGAGTAGAACTATCTAATGTCAGCGTGAGCACATTAAATGAGCCTATGTAAACCCAGCCGATTCGTTTCCAAGGAGATCATCCTGATTGTATTTTTGCTTCCTCCGGGAGCGGGGTGGGGGGTCTTGAGAGAAAGAAGAGGCATTCTGCGCCCATAGAGATTTACACCTTTGAAGACCCGCAGCAGCAGCCCTACTCTATCCTATAGGGCAGTGGTTCTCAACCTTCCTAGTACCGTGACTCTTTAATACAGTTCCTCATATTGTGGTGACCCCCCAACCATAACATTATTTTCGTTGCTACTTTATAACTGTAATTTTGCTGCTGTTATGAATCGGGTGACCCCTGGTGAAAGGGTTGTTTGACGCCCAGGTTGAGAACCGCTGCTAGAGGGTCACTGACTGGAATCAACTGGGTAGCAGTGGATTTTTGGTTTGGGGTGGGGAGCAGGGAAATAAACGGAATCAAGGTTTTCCCCAGGATTTTCACGTCCCTCCGATTTAACATAGGTATTTCAAACATTGATATATAGGAAGAGGGCCCTTGTAAGCATTTGAAACAAACAAAATCTTAACAACTTTGTGGTTGGGAATGGCTTGGCGCTCACGCCTGTGCCCGCGGCAGCTGAGTAGATGTAGGTTTTTGGGGTCAGCATTCCCTGTGCTCCATGGTCCTGTGGTCTGTGTGGGTTTCTCCTGCCCATGGCAGCTGCAGAGACACCTGCCACGGAGCCTTTGGTGGTGGGGGTTGGGTGGGAGACGGGGGTAGTGGGGGAGGGGAGGCAGATGGCAGGTTCAAGGTGACCTGTGTGTGGCGTGAAAGGGGCTAAGAGCTTGACCTGGACTGGGAAACAGGGATATTGGACTATATATGGTTGGCGGGGTTTTAGGTTGGCGTTAGCTTTTTCACCTCCCAGCTTACAGACTTATTTATTTTTGTTCACACCACCAACTTGGTGTAGTTTAGGTTTTACAAAATACTGGTTGAGCTCAAAATCTCACGTTTTAATGTTTCTTGAAACCCAAGGAAAGCATTGAGAAGATAAAACCAACAAACACAGCGCTAGAGAATCCGGCCTACGACAGGTTTATCTTGGACAGACTGAGAGCATGTGTGGAGTTGGTTTTCACCCTTGCAAACCCCCATCGGCAAAGCAGTTCTACTACCGTCGTGTTTCACAAACAGCGCGCCCCTCCCGGCCCTCCCACCATCCCGTGCTAGTTTCCTGTGTGTGGCGCACACGCTGCATGCATATGTGCACAGAGCGAAGAGAAGGGCGGTGGGACTCAGGTGGCTTTCCTTTATTTGTTTAATTTCGCTGTAGGGAAAGTCAGAGGGTCTTGGTCTTCTTTTTCCTGACCCTGAATGTGTGGAGGGTTGACACCTGTGCCTGATGACCTGCCCCACCCCCACCCGCTTTTATGAACCAGTATTTAAAAAAAAGAAAGAAAGAACCCCAAATAGGAAGGTTATCTTGTCTTTTTGTAGTTTTTCCCATTCCTAAGCCGCATAAGGAGGCATCACTTAGCCCCTCCTAAGAAGAAGTAGGTTGATATTGTAGTTGGTTCTCTGAAGCATAACATTATTAGTATTATTATTATTTTGGCACAAGTCATTTTCACAGTTAAAACTTGGTCTTCTCCTAAAATTCTAAAGGAGAAACAAAATTCCAGAAAGTCAATACTCTGCCTCCGTAGAGGGCTGAACCGCACAAATCTGTACTCGGTGTTCTCTGGGAGTGTCGGTTTTAGCTCTGTGTCAGCTGGAAACTGGACAGCATGCTGTGAAATGACCTCTCCAAGGCTGGGCTGAGCTGGGGTCCAGCCAGCTCGCCCTCAGGGATGCCCTCCAGTGAGAGGCAAAGCCATGGCTCTGTGTGTGAGTCTTCCCTCGCCTGGGCCTCTGGGCTTGGCTAGAAAGCGGAGATTCGGGTTAAAGATAACAGGATTTATGCCAAGGCTGCCTTCTGTCGAAAGGAGGATTCCATTGAATAGAATCTTCATTTGGCGAAGAACGGTGAAGTGGCAGTAGCAGAGGCTGAGCTAACGCTCGCTCGCAGTTTGACTTGGCTGGGGGCGCAGTGATGGTAGTGGTGGTGCGGTGTGAGGATTTGTAGCAGGAGCTGCACTTTCTCTGTCAGACGGAAACCCTTGCAGCGCCTTGGGGTGAGGTCAGGCAGGGCTATACTCACCTTCATTTCCTCCGCAGGCTTTACCACCCCATCCTTTCTGCCCTCCGTTCTTTTTAAGTTTTTTTTTTTTTAATGCGTCCATTCAGCAACCCCCCAAAAAAATCCACTGCCATCAAGTTAGTTCTGACTCAGAGTTTCTGAGACTGCGAATCTTTTTCCAGGAGCAAGCAGCCTTGTCTTTTTCCTGTGGAGCGGCGGGTGGTTTTGAACCAGTTTCGCAGAGCAGCCCCATCGGAGCACACTCAGCACACTAGCCATCCAGTGCTTCTGGAAGAGAAATACCTTGGGTGGGGCACGTGAAGGAACGGTCACTTAGTTTCTCACAGTTACGGTGACTGTTAAGTCTGAGCCCAGAGCACCCAGTCTAGGGGGAGGCTTGCTCTCTGGTGGCTTTGTTCTTTCAACATCTGTAGGTCTGGATTCCTGTATGAACCTTGGCATCAGTCTTCCACTGGGGCTAAGCGGTGATCCGTGCAAGGACCCCAGGTCAAAAAGAAGAGCTTCACTCTGGCTCTTGTTCTTTCTTCATGTGGTAGCCAGGAGGGTCCTATCTTAAGATAGAAGGTGATGCCGGCCACACTCAGGGGAAAATGCTTTGACGTTTTATCAAGGTATTGACCAAACCAAACTCACTGCCATCCGGTGGGTGCCGATTCGTAGCAACCCTATAGCACAGGGTAGAACTGCCCCTGTGGAATTTTGAGGCTTTAACTCTCTATGGGAGTAGAAAGGCACTGCCGTGGACCCTTTATAGTGGATTGGCTGATCCTGTCAGATCATAGGGCACGATTGCCTCAGCACATAACTGCTAAATGATTGCTAGCCAAGATGGCATCCTATATTTGGGGGAGTGCACAACAATTCAATCCATGACCCCAAGCGCGCCATTGAGTCCCTTTCAACCCAAAGCAACCTCATAGGACTGAATGGGACTGTTCCTTGGGGTTCCTGGGACAGTGACTCTTTACGGGAGCAGAT